GATGAATGAAAGCTCATTCCATTTTCACACGATACGAGGGAGGATGTTTCGTGGACTACGTCAACCTGAACGTCATATTAAAGCCAAACAGTTGCAATACAATGGGATTCAGCCGTCCTCTTCTGGTGAGATCGATGTTTAAATCTCTTCATGCATTTTCATACGAAATGGGAGTCTCCCAAACAATGTTATTTGAGGAAATTCTTCGAAACCCATTTACTCTTCATATCTATTTTTTATTTACTAGTTCTCATGAAATCGTGCATAAATATATCCTAACAAGACACGAATTAAATTCATCCATATGTTTATTTCCGTTCCTTTTCTGTCCAGGGAGAATTCAATCTTTCTATTGCTACTCCTAAGCCTGATTGCGGTTGGTCGTGTTTGTGGCGACAACCGACTAACCTATCAGTTGCCTTCTTAGCCGTGGATACGACTGGATGCCGCCTTGTCGGCGACATATGCTCCGCGCCACTTCTTTCTTGCTTGGCTCGTTTGATTCAGCTATTTGGTCCCCGCCTTCTTTTAGACGTAATGTTACCGTCCATTGGTCGGGCAATCAACTCTGCTGTCGCCGGACTCAGTACTACTGTCCTTGAGCCTACCACCGGTATTTGCTCTTCGTCATTGCCTAGAAACCTCATTGAAACCAGTGATTCTGTTTCTTTTGGCTCATTATTTGTACCAGATTCCAAAGCGGCAGGGCATCATGCCAATTCAATGGGCAGCGGTGTCTCAACGAGTCCCAAGGACACAAATTCCGCCACCAAATCAAGAACTCCATCTGAATGTGGTAATAATAGGCAGCTTCTGAAGCCTGGATGGTCAACAGTGGTTGAAGCACGTCTTGTTGCAGCCCTGGTGCTTCTCCGGATCACGGTTACCTATCTTCCAGATCGATATCTGATGCATTTGTTGCAGGTTACCCAAATAAATTCATCCTTTTTCATTTTAATCTTATGTATCACAGTCTTGCATTCATATTATAGCCTTTTAAATTTTTTTCTTATTCTTCTCGAAGACCTTGTCTCTCCAAACTCACTACATAAGTGACATGAAAATTCTAAAAAATTATTAGGGCTATGTCTAAACTCGAGAATAAATACTAATTAGCGTTGTTATGCTCTTGACCAAAAGCTTTAATTTGACGCTCCGATTGTAGGCGACGAAAAGTTTCCAAGTGACTTCAAAGCTATTTTAAAGTGGATTATTGACTTTGTTTAGGCATATAAACAAAATCCATCTCTTTCATTCTTCTATTCCACTTAAACCTGCTAAGCATAAAATGAATATTGTCGAAGGCGTTTTTATTTTTATTTTTTAACGCTCATTTAGACTAATGCTAGTGGGACCTTCATTTTGTAG